TTTATATATATAAAGAAAACAGTTAATTTCTCAAAACTCACTAATGCATAAATCATCTTCCTTGTCACTCCCTAAGTCCATTTTTTTTTTCACTACACTCCCTAACATAATTATCTCTTTCCTCACAACTACCCACATATATATATATAAATATTATTATTAGCTATTTAATTTAATTGTAAAGGTGAAGAAAAAATCTTCTCTCTCATCTATCTCTCTCCAAATCTAAAAAAAAAAAATCGAATCCAAGCTCCAAATTATCCATCCATGGAGAAGCGTACACATGTCCTCAACAAGCTCTCCTTCGCCTCTGTTCGTACCTGCTCGGATGCCCATCGGTCTCAACTTCTTCCTCCCAATCCTCGTCGCCGCCCTAAATTCCTCCAACTCCAAATTCACCCCTTCCAAAACCGCCTCCTTCCGTTCAAACGGTCGCCCCGGACGCAGTCGCCACCCTCGTTCCACAGCTTGTTATCAAAGTGCGACGACGTGAACGTCCAGAGGATGGCGACGCTGTCGAAGCCCCGTCGCCCATTGATTGCGGCGAACGCCTATGGAAGGCGCGAGCTAGCCATACGACATCGCGTGTAACACCCCACTATCTTACTAGTATTAGAGTAAATTTTTCGCAAAAACTATTTCAAAAAAATACTTATAAATTTGCGAAATCGGTTAACTTGACTCGGGATGATAATATAAAACTCTCTTATACTGAAAACTCGTTTTCTTTGAACTTGGTCTAACTACTGGTTTAGACATAAAGAAAACAGAGTATAAACTTTTAATCGAACAAGCATGTAATATTAACCCAAGCCACACTAGGGGACTGGGTAAAATCTGAAAATATGAAAATATTGGCATGCAAGTTCGTAAAATAGATAATAAACAGACAATGGAGTAAGTTCGTGGCATAATATATATACAAACTAATATATGTATATATATATATATATATATAAACCCACAAAACGGCAAACTGGCTGAGTCCACGACCACAACCACCACAGCTGATCTCACGCCTCCTGGTCGACCCTCTCATCTAAAAAAGATAAAGCAGTGAGGAGTGAGTACAAAGGTCAACGGTGCGCAGAAACCCATACTAAAGTAAACAATGATAATAATAACCATATCATGGTCATCAGTATATACATAAAACTGAACTGAAATTGAAACTGAAATCATACTATCTCCCGGACACTGTGGCCGATAACCCTGTGCATGGAATATTAAGGCAACTAGCCTCCAGCAGAACCTAGGTTGACATATTAAGGCAACTAGCCACCACCCTAAGCGGATAAAATATATATACATACTTCAGACATAGTATCTGTAATTAGACTCAATGTAATACCCAGGTTGGGTCCATACCTGTACAGCTGGTACTGAAAATGTAAGTGCTGGACTGAATAGTGGCTCCTCAAGCTACACAAAAATATAAGCAAACAAATATTAAGTACTATGCTCAGAATACTCAATTATATGCTATGATGCTCGGTTCTAACTTCTAACTTTATCCGGTTTAAACGAAACGCTCTAGTGGTTCAATAAAATTATACTAAGTCCTGAAATAACTGATATAGCTAAACTGAACCGATCCGGCTCATAAAAATACTAGAACTTTGAATAAACTCAGACTTAAATATACAAACCGAAAAATACTTAAACCTCCGGTTCGCTAGTTGGCTAGGCGCTGCCGACGCTGTCGACGTGCGTTAAGACTGGAAGCGTCGCGCTTACTGGTCGCGCATACACTTTGGCTACTTAAACACTACAACGAGACACTCAGTGCCGAGTTTGCCTCTGAATTCTCGCGGCCGGGCGCGCTGCACAGAATACGTGCGACCAATGCCTACAACCGGTGCTTACCGGCCATCCGACAACTCATTCCGGTAAACATCTCTCAAATTGACATAACATAACCCAATGAACTTAAAAAATGTAA